TTATCATCTTATTTTCTTTTTATTTTATTATTTTTTTTTTTTCAGAATTATATTCATCTCTTTCTATCTAACTTTCATGAATAAACCGGTTATCATATACCCTTTACAATTTATGATACTTTCAAACGCATTCAATTTATATTCAAGATAAGTGTTCACTATTTTTCTGAGATACAACGATACAAAGAAACAGTCAGTCAGCCAGACTCAGACAGTCAATCAGAATCAGCAGTCAGTCAGTCAGAATAAGTCAGTCAGACATCCAGTCATTCATTCAGTTAGTAAGTCAGTAAGTCAGTTTCATCGCCACAAATACCAAACCCCACCCAGTGTTTCCATCCCTGAGCTTGACCCTGTCCACTCGCGTACTTCGTAGCCCACTTCTTTAAGATCCCGAACCAATATTGTCCTCCCATCCACGTTTCGGTCTACCCAGTGGTCTTTTCCCGTTGGTATACCGATCAGTATTTTATGCACCRTTCGATTCACCCCCATGCGTGCCACGTGACCTGCCCATCTTAATCGGCGCGATTTTACGACGTTAATGATGTCCGGTTTTGTTGTACAGTCAAGTGTACTTCTACGTTATGGGGTTTTCTCCCATTCGGTCGTTTCCTCATCGCGTTTTGCACCCGAAGATTTGACGAACAACTTTATTTTCGAAAAGTTTCAATTTCTTTTCGTCCCGTGACGTAAGTGACCACGTTTCGATACCATAAAGGACTGCAGGTAGGATGATTGTCCTGTATATCCTGATTTTGAAGCGCCTAGACAGCAATCGTGAGCTGAGACATTGTCTAAATTGATTCTTAAAGTAGAAGAATAGAAATTTGTGTGTGTGTGAGAGAGAGAGGAGTTTAACTATGATAAAAGACAATTACTATGTTTAAGGGAAAGATTATTAAGATCGAGTATCTCAAAGGGACGGAAATGGTCGTTTGTTTTGATGGAAACAAGTTACTTAATCCAGTAATTTGAATGAACCTTTTGTCAAATTGATATTTATTGTTATCTCTTCCCCTCACCCCTAGATTATTTTTTTAAATTGATTGATTTATCGTAAGAGTTAAAAACACAAATTTTCTTTAACCCCTTCAGACCTCTGTGCACATTGTTGATATACATAATAATAATTTATGTACAATTATGTTACAAATTTAATGTTGCAAATTTTCGTTTAAGGATCCCACATCTCTATTAAAATTTATTTATAATTTTGCAAATTATTAAATAAATAAATAAAATGTATATCGTTGTTTTATGAAACATTAAACTCACATGAATGTTTTAATTTTCGTATTAAAAATAATTGTTTATTAAATGGAACAACAATTTGGGTCTAAAGGGGTTGTTAAATTAAAAAGTTTAATATAATTTTAGTCGAATAAAAAATATCCACCCCTTTCCCGTTGGGCAGCTGTGATTGTTCGTGAAATTTGTTCGATGATTTAATTAATTTCGTTTCAAGAAATTCGAAGCCACCTACCCCACCACCCATCTACCCAACACCACCCGATGTGTGTTGTCCAATTTAGTAACCTACTTTTGCTTAGTTTTGTTCGTTCTTTTAATTATTATTTTTTATTTTTTTATTTTTTAATATATACTCTTGAGAAAATGAGAGCAAATGTACGATCAACTTTGACACAACCAACAACGTTCATCAATTACGAAACGTGACGAAATGAAACGGAAAAATTTATAAACGATTTGATCCAATTTTCGATGAATATAATATCACATAATGATAATAATAATAATAATAATAATAATCTAAAGTTACGTGTCATAAAACGTAAATGAAACTCGGATTATTTCTATTTTTTTTTTTTTTTTAATATACGAGCCATGTTTTCACAACGTTAACGATTTTCGAAATTTATAAAACATAAAAAATTGCACAAAAAAAATTGTATTTTTCTATCGACCAAACTCGTTTAAAATTTTTCCCCGAATACCAATAATCCAAATTCACGGTGTGGTTTTTCATTTTATTGAAAAAATAAAATTAAATAAAATATACATATATATATATTAAAACACACACACAATGTTGCACGTGTTATATGAGATATTTCAAATGATCGGTATGATTGATTTTGAGTTGCTTTTCCTAGTGTCAATCAAAAGTTAAACGAAAAAGGTTTGTGATACAACAACAACAACAGCATCAGCATCATCATCATCGTCATTATCGTCATCATCGTCATCATTGACACGTGTTATGTTTGTTAACAACAAACCTACCTACCCGTCATCGTTTCAAGTCCTCGAATCTGACAAACGTTTCTCGATAAAATCCGTTTATTCTCACACGACGAAAATCATTGATTATATATCTATATATATCTATATATATATATATATATATATATATATATATATATATATAGTATATATATCGGAAAACGATCGTACGTTTTGATAGGAGTTGGCACATGTCGACGTTAACGTAGGTTGCTGTTACAGCTGTTGTTGTTGTTGTTAAAACATTGCAGCAGAAACAAACACAAATAAGAAAAAATAAAAAAATAAAAGTTAAGTTCGGACATCTGTAAAATTTCGTTTCATTTATGAGAAAATACAGCCATAAGTTGTATGTGGTTAGAGTACAAGTTTGTTCAGTTCAATGAAAAAAATATGAAAGTTAAAAGGTCAAAGATGAAAGGAGTTTAAAGAACGCGTTCGTGTAATAGTAGTATCATATAACGGGTGTTAAAATAATAAAAGAATGAGATAACAAGTCTTGACACACACTAATACACACGAGTCATAGTGTGGTGATGCCCACGTGGGAAATCATGCATTACCGTTCCTAGTTCGCGATTAATCAGACAACACTTCAATATGTGTTTTAGAGAATGTTTTAAACTAGAGTAATGTTGAATAAATAATGTTTTTTTAATATTATTTAACACTTTGGTTACATTTGGACGTATTAATACGTCATGCATTTGTTTAAGCAAAGATGCATAGGACGTTTGAATACGTCGTTGAAACTGTGACGAGGATTTCATTTGAGTTCATTTTGGGGTTTATTTCAAAGTAGTGTGTAAATTTGGGATATTATTAGTATTATTATTTATTATAATATTTAATATTAATTTAAAAATTGTTATTATATATTTTAAAGTATTTTTTAAATATTATTTGATATCCAAAAGTGTTAAACTGGACGAGTTTAGCACACAAATCTTGCAAGTTCATCGAACCTTGATACAACTCTCGTTTATTTCAAAGTAAATCCCTCATTTTTATATTTTATTATTATAAATAATATTTAATATTAATTTAATTTATTATAATATATTTTAAAGTAATTTTTAAATATTATTTGATACCGAAAAGTGTTAAACTGGATGAGTTTAACACAAAAATTGTGCAAGTTCATCGAACCTTGATACAACTCTCGTTTATTTCAAAGTAAATCCCTCATTTTTATATTATATATTATTATTATTATTATTATAATAAATAATATTAAATATTTATTTAAAGATTATTTTAATAAATTTCCAACAAATTTTTAAACAAAATTTATAACCAAAAGTTTCAAATAAATTTTGCACAAAGTATCGTGCAAATAAATGAAATTGTATAATAATAAAACCCAAAATAATATAAACGGTGAATAGAAGTAGACAAAATTAAAAGTGATGGTAATGTAATGGTGGTTGGTGATGGTTGAGGATGGGATTTCATTTATACGACGTAGGTGGTCGAAAAAGGAAAAGGAAGAAGGGGGAAGGGAGGGTTCCCCGTTGGGTTATTCGTTGCTCGCATTTGAGATCGATTCGTGCGTTGCTCGATCTTGCAAAGGGCACACCCTTCGTGAGAGTATAACAGAAAAATAGAAAGAAGGATTTCTTCATACTATGGTTTTCATCATATCTCATGGGAACATTTAAGAATATTTCAAAACTCGTCTCTCGTGTGTCAGTTCGTGTTCTTAATTCATCTTAACACGTTGTGTGGTATTTAAAAGATTGTTATATAACTATGACGATGACTGTACACCACTACTACTACTACTACTATTTATTCGTGAAGAAAAAAAATTATCATAGTGATTCGTATCACGTATATGTGTGTGTGTGTGTTTGTTTTTTAATGATATTATTATTCATAAAGTTTGTATATTAATTCAACTGTGTATGTTAAAGCTCATTACAGTTATGTTTATTAATATACACGTATGTGTGTATTTTTTGTTGTTATTAATTTGTTGCATTATAAATTCGTAGTATTATTTATAAACTGTGTATATTAAATAACATTAAACTTATGTTTATTAATATACACGTAAAGTATATATGATTTTCGTAGTATAAAAAATTCATATGTGTGTGCATATTTGAGTATGTGTTTTTTACTAATCCGTGGTATTTATTCATAAACTGTGTATATAAAACAACATTAAAGTTATGTTTATTAATATACACGTAAAATATATATGATTTTTGTAGAATGAAAAGAAGGTCATGTGTGTGTATATGTATATGTGTATATGTATATTTATATATGTGTGTGTGTGTTTGTGTGGTAATCCTCTATTTAAACTCGTTATTAACGATCGGGAATTATGATGATACGTTTGAAGATAGTCTTTTAAAAAAAGACATGATCTTTGAACTAAACGACATTTCTATATATACATACATATACATATATGTATATATATTTGTATGTATGTATTCTCGCGTAATCTCGAATAGTTTAGTATTATCTAGCAAATTCTATCATCTCGTGCCTGTCTATCCAAGAAAATGAAACTTTATAACATCCACGATATTAAGTGTGTATATATATATTTATAAATTATGATCATTGATCATCATCATCATTTTAAGCAACATAATCTTCGTCTAAATGATGCACAATTGATTCCTTGTCGATGAATTATCATACATTCATTCATTTTGATTGATTTATTTTATTTCATTCGAAGTATATCACTTGATTTTTCTTTTTTTTATTTAAAAAAAAAAAAAAACACTAACCACCACATTCACTGATGTTAATATATTCACGTAAAGATCTCGTACGTTACGAGGATCAAGGTCATCGTCATCACGTTACGCGTAATAGCTGATCGAAATGAATCGTCCGATTTTATTCATCAAATTCATTTGTTGATTTTATTTGTTTTTTTGTTTATTAGAAAATAGCATGGAATTTCACTGTTTTTTTTTTCTTTTAACTTCGTATACGATTTGTTCGATAATAATAATAATTAATAAAAAAAAAAAACTATGACGATGCGTCTCGTATGACGCGCGGACAGCAACTGGCCGGCCTTTCGAATTCTCGGCTGGTTTGCACCTCTCCCCTCCTTCCTCTGAGTTCTCCCGACGACGGTTATCGCACACACGGCACGAGTTTCTCCCACCACCATTACCCAGTTTCTCTCCCCACCTAGAATTTCTCTTGACACGAGCACCCCCTCCCCTTCCCGCCACCCAGTCGTTTCCCTCGTCTCCCCTCTCCACTTTCTTCTGCTCTCTCTGTCTCTCTCTTACCCTCTCACTCTCAACCCTTTTTTATTTTCTCAAATCTTCTCCGTTACTTCTTCCTCGTGAGAAAAATCATTCTTCTGCCATTTTCTTTTTATTTTATTTTATTTTTTTATTTTTTTTTCTATCTTCGTTTATTTAATTTGAAATTCATTCGCAAAAATCGTGGTGTCTCCAATTGCTTATCTTCTATCTTTGTCCTTGTCTGTTTGCTGGCCCTTATCTTTCACGAGATTAAAGACGAACGATGAATTTATTTGCGCACAATTCATGGGACTTACAATTGCGCAATTTTTTCTACGTGTGTGTGTTTGTTCGTTAATGTTGTACGTGTATATACACGGTAATACATAGAATAATCGTCTGATCGTTCGTAAACGTTTATTTTACAAAAAGTTTTTAACCAGTTAACTGTGGCACTCCATTTTGAAAATTTGTACCGCTGTGTGTCGCTACAATCGATCGATTACGAGTTTTGAGGTTAAAATTGCTCATTTTCAGGATAAAATGAACTCTACAAAGTTCAAGAACTCAAGAAGTTCAAATCTTGAATTTCTTTTAACTCATCTTGAAATTGAAGAATAAGTTTCGTTTCCTCCCCCCCCCCCCCGAAAAAAATTGTTACAATTTAAATAGCAACAAATCATGAGACTACGTTTTACGTATGACGAAATCAAACTCAGTTAACTGATTAAAAAGATAACACAGTTATTTTCCACGTATCATTTGATTCACATCATCGTTCATCGTCATCGTTCATCGTCACGTCATTTTTATTTCTAACACGACACGATAAGAAAAAAAAAAAAAAGAAAAAACGAGGAAATAATATATCGAGATTTTTATTCTAAAAACTCCCCCAAAAAAAGTGGTGTACAGTTTTACGTAACTTC